CTACCCTCACCCACTACCCTCTCCCACTACCCTCTCCCACTACCCTCACCCACTACCCTCTCCCACTACCCTCACCCACTACCCTTCCAGTCCTTAGCTGGCAACTGCTGGTAGCACTTGCTCCTCAATCCTGAGTGTTTATGGTGGGCTGGCTCTGACAACAGTAAGTGTGGCGTTACCATTACTTACACGCTGCGTTTAACAGAGGTTATAGTTCTCAGAGGCTTTCTCCAAAGCCCCAAGATTGTCCTGGATTCTGTAAGAGACGTGAGAGACATCGCTGTCTTCCAGGTTCTCTCGGCCTCACTGGGAGCGAGGCTACCCTGACCTAAAGCAGAGTCTTACCAAGGGCCTCTCTGTGGTCCCGGGGCTTTGTGAGTTTCTAAGAGGGGGTAGGGGCTCCTGTCAGGGGAGGCCTCAGCTCAACGTTGCAGGGGCCTGTGGCATTTGGGTGGGACAGTTCTCATTGCAAGGAACAGATTTACACCTCGAAGGGCTGTTAGAACCACTCCTCCTCCCTTCCCCTTGGGAAGGATAGGGACAAACACCCTGCCTGCTCCAGGGGAGGGGGCGGGTCAGGGAAAAGCTACAGATGATGCCCAAGGAGGGGTGGATGATGAGGGGTAGGTGCTGCCTGAGGAGGGGTGGATGATGAGGGGTAGGTGCTGCCCAAAGAGGGGTGGATTTCAGGCACAGTGATGTGGGTGCTTTCCATAAATTCATTCATTTGACTTCAACAAAGATTTATTGAGCCTCTATTATGTGCAATCATCACCAGACATAGACCCCTGCCCTGTGGGATGTATGCACTTGTGATATGGAACAGGCCGTGGGACGTAGCCTGGGCACACTGCCCTGTTACATCCACCCACGTGCCTCGTCGGCTGCCCTCCTCCTGCCCAGAGCTCCACACCCTTCCCGCACCTCACGCCGGGCTCTCGGAGCGTGCACTGGGGCTGGCACACCTCACAGGGCACCCACAGGCAGGCAGCCAGGTGTGACCTCTGCAGATTGCCTCTGTCCCTTCGCTGCACCCCTGCCCGGCCCCACCTGGGCAGTTTCCTCTGTGGGCAGCTTCTGCAAGCAGCCACCCGGAAACCCAGCCCCGCTCCCTAATCTCCCCATTCCTCCGGTCAGCCACACACCTCATCCGGGACAGCCAGGGCCCCACTGAGCTGCTCGGGAGGCCCCGGGGAACCTCAGTGCCCTCATGCCTCTTCTCTCCCCAGCCACGAAGAATCCACCAAGTACCTCAACTTCTCGGCCTCGGAGGAGGAGGGGAGCAGCGTGGCCCAGCTCAGATACCAGGTGAGTGACGGTGGCTCAAGAGCAGGGGCTGCGGCCCAGGAGCCAGGGCGCAGGGAGGGGCGTGGCCTTGGCATGCTTTGCCCTCGCTGCCCTCCGTGCAGGTGAGCAACCTGGGGCAGAGGGACCTGCCTGTCAGCATCTACTTCTGGGTGCCTGTGGAGCTGAACCAGGAGGCGGTGTGGACAGAGCTGGAGCTCCTCTACCCCCAGGTACCCGAGGACTGTGTGTGGCTCCCCCACCAATGCCCTTTGCCTGGGTTCCCGTGTCCCCCCACTCTCTGATGTCCCCTCTGAGACGCCTGCTCTCTGTCTTCCTAGGGCCCATCTATCAACTGCTCTTCAGAGAGAACAGTGCCCACAGAGGCCGACCCCCGGGCCCACACGCAGAAGAATCCCGTGCTGGTGAGGACTGGCTGCCCCCCACTTAAGCCACACGTCAGAGGCTCTGAGCTCAGGGGTCCGTGTGACGTTCAGAGGGATGTCTGCTGACAGCATTCCTGAATTCAGATGTGGCTGCTCCTTTAAATCAGACACGTTAATGCTGTCTGCTGCCTTCACACGCACACACACACACGCACGCACGCACACACACACACGCACGCACGCACACACTCTGGGCTGATCTACTTCTCTGCCCCTAGGACTGCTCCGCTGCTGCCTGCCGGCGGTTCCACTGTGACGTCCCCTCCTTCGGCACCCAGGAGGAACTGGACTTCACCCTGAAGGGCAACCTCAGCTTCGGCTGGGTCAGCCAGGTGGGTGGGCCCAGCGGCAGAGCCCCGCCCCCCGCCTCCGCCTCCCGTGGGCCCTGAATGTCTGTGCCCGGCCTCAGTGGGGAGCGAGGGCATTTCCCGGACCCTGAGCTTTCCCCGGAGCTAGCTGCCAGCTCTCCTGCCCTTTTGCAGACTCTGCAGAAGAAGGTATCGGTGGTGAGTGTGGCGGAAATCACTTTCGACAGATCTGTGTATGCCCAGCTCCCGGGCCAGGAGGCGTCTCTGAGAGCCCAGGTAGTGACTGTGTGCTAGGCAGCAGCCAGGTTGGCGAGCGGCTTCTGATGCTAAATCCGTGTGCCGGGCGGAATCTCACAAGGCTGGAGGGAGGGGGTGAAGATCCCTGGGGGGGACAGTTGTCCCTAAGCCCCTGAGGGCTTCTGTGGCTCAGCCCGTGGAGTCTGGCCCGGGGAGGCCGGGGAGGAGGTTAAAGGTTGGAGAGGCTGGGAGGAGCCAGGGCCGCCAGAGGCCCGATGCTTTCTGATGGGGTCACCTCCTTCCAGACGGAGGTGGTGCTGGAGAAGCAGGAGGTCCACAACCCCGTGCCCCTCATTGTGGGCAGCTCCGTGGGAGGACTGCTGCTGCTGGCTCTCATCACAGCCATACTGTACAAGGTGCGTGCTCGCCTCCTGACCCCCAGCACGTGCTCCCACTTTCACAGCATAAGACAGGGCTCCCCTTGGAGTCGGCCACGTTCTCGCTCAGTCACTGCATGCGAGGGAGCCTCTTCCGCCTCTGACATCGGCAGTCCCCAGCTGTCCCCCATGTGTGTGCTCCTATCTGTTCTCAGGCTTCCTTTAGTCTCTCTCCCTTTCTTTCCCACTCACCTCTGCCTTTCTACATGTTTCTCTTGACAGCAAATCTATAGATATAAAAGCCTAAGCAACCGAACAACTGGTCGCTATGACGCACACTGACCACCAGGGGGCAGATGCTCAATGTGGGAGCTGCCCCCTGGTGGTCAGTGTGCTCCCACAGTGGGAGCGCCGCTCAGACCCAAGGCCCACGGTGGCCTGAGCCCGTGGCAGGCACAGCGGGGCCAGGATGAGTGGGAGCAGCAGGCAGGAGTGGCAGGCGGAGTTGGACTGCTGGTTTTGGCCCGATCCCTGCAGGCCACGCTGAGGGACCCCACTGGTGCACATATCCATGCACCAGGCTTCTAGTTATAACATAAAAAGCACTGCCCTGGGTTTGATGTGGACACTCAGGATTCTTTCTGTGACTAGGCGAGTGCCTGGTCCACGCTGGGTCTTGTTTCACATTCTAAAGGTAGTTACCAGCTCACAGAACTGTGGTCCAGTCTAACTGTCACAGTGTTGCCACTGCACTGCTTGAACATCACAGGGGCTCCTGAATGGTGGTCCCTCCCCTTCCCATCACCTCTTTCCCCCTCTCCCACCGGACTCCCTTCCTCTCCTTCCTTCCCTGCAGGTTGGCTTCTTTAAACGTCAGTACAAAGAGATGATGGCGGAAGCAAATGAACAAGCTGCACCATCGGACCCCCAAGGTGGCCAATAAGAAACTCCCTCCTGTTCTCTTTGGACTTGCTCTGCCCTGAGAGGCTTCCTGGCCCCTTTAATCACACCCGCCAGGCTTGAGGGGGAACAACTGTCCCACAGGAGGGAGGCTGGCACCGGCTGCTTTCTCTCTTTGGAGGATGAAGTTTATTTGCACAAAGCGTCTCGCCTGGGAAGGGCCATTTGTCTTGTCAAAGCTCCAGATGGAAACACCAGGCAGGATCCCTGCCCTGCCCCCCGAGCACGTGGCCTGAAATTTCTACCTGGAAATACACGGACCATAGCCCCCAGCTCCATTCTCCCTTCCTCCACTAGCCACCAGTGATCTCGCTAAAACGCAGTATTGTTTTTTGTGATTAAAAAAAATAAAGAAATGTATTGGGCTGACGTTGGTTAATAGGATCATGTAGGTTTCAAGTGTACAGTTCTGTGATACAAGATCTGTATATTGCATGGTGTGCCTACCACCCAACGCCAAATCATCTTCTGCCACCATATATATTAGGCCCCCTTCACCCCTCACCCCTACCTCCACCTAAGATCCGGTCTTGAACAAGTCACTCGTTCTCATGCATCTTCAGTGGCTCCCCCTTAATCACAGGTAAACTATCAGCTGGATGTCGGGAGCCAGCTCCCTTTCCAGAGACGGGCTTCGGAGCACACAGCATGAGGCGTCTGTGCTGCTCTGTCACCCTCATCTAGCAAAGTGCTGGCAGTATGGTCTCGGTTTTGTCTTGGGAATCTCAGTCCAGATTTCCAGAATGAAGTTGGGAATGAAATGCCTTTCATTAGCATTTGTAAACTTGGCTTCTAGCGTTGGTCGGCACTGCTGGCCACGAGGGAAGGGTGCCCCTGCCCCCGGAGGAGTGGTGGCCCCAGTGCCACTTCGGCTCACCCAGCTTCAGGGTCTCTTTGAGGCCCTAAAGATAGCAAATGAATAAATGCCAGAACATACTGGTAATTATAAAAATTGCACATTTTAAATATTTGCATTAACAAATTAACACTTTGCACAAAAAGATGCATGTGCCTTTATTGGGAAACATGTCAAAGATCTAAAATTAATGCCTTTTATGGATGTGAGTCCTGGGAATGACGCTCATGCTGTCCCCTCATCATGGTAGACGCCGGCCAGCCCTGAGGCCCGGGGCCAGGACCAGACAGTTAAACAGGTCAGGGTTATAAACGTCCCTTATTGGGGGTAGCCTGCCCTCTTCATCTGCTCACTCCATTCTCAGGGGTGTCACTGATGGGAAGCGGATGGGGCTGAGGGGGAGGGGTGGCAAGCAGAAGGGGCGGCCCTTCGTGGCTACTCTTCCCTCTGGAAGGAACCAATACGCAGATGCTGGTACAAATCCTGAGAGGTGCTGACACTGCTTGCATGTGGCTAGTGATCGGGGAGACTCTGAAGTCCTATATCAGGGGCCTGCTGCCTCCCATAAGGTTATTATTGTGCCGCTCATCTCGGCATGAAGCTCAAAGTGGTGCCTGGTGCTGAGCTGGGAGCCAACACACCCCTGCCCTGAGAGATCCCACTGTTGCTGCCGCCACAAGGGTGCTCGGGCCTGAGGATCTTTTAATTGGAAAAAAAGGGGGGACAGTTGATCATGTGACTTGAGGGAATGCTAGAAAGTGGCCCTTTCCCTCCACCCAACGATACCCTCATCCACCGTCTTCGGGTCCAAACTCCTTTTGTATCTGGAAGCTTTGGAGTCTCCGGAAGGGCCAGTTATCATACAGTAGCCTCATGGTGGGCTCTAGGCGAGACTTCACTGGAATCTGGCTTTAGAGTGCTGTTTCTCAAAGTGGGTTCCACAAACCACCTGTGGTCTCCACTGATCTCCTATGTGCCAAGGCTTTTTATTTACTTATTTATTTCCTCACCCAAGGAAATGCTTATTGATTTTAGAGCAAAAGGAAGGGAGAGAGAGAGAGAGAGAGAGAGAGAGAGAGAGAGAGAGAGAGAGAAACATCAATGTCTATCAGTTGCTTCCTGTATGTGCCCTGACCTGGGATCAAACCTGCAACCTGGGTATGTGCCCTGACCAGGAATCGAACCCAACCTTTTGGTGTACAGGGCAATGCTCCAACCAACCGAGCCACCCGGCCAGGTCCTAAGTGCTACGTTTGAGAGAGGAAAAAAAGCAAGAAACGGAGGGTCCAAATGATGGCATAGGAAGACCCTGAGCTCACGTCCCCCACGGACACCAAGTCTACAGCTGTGTAGGGATCACTTCCCTCTGAAAAGACCTGGGAAGCAGATGGACTGATCCTCCTTGACAACGGAGAGAAGGACCACATCGCGATGGGAAGGAGAGGCAGAGACATGCTGTTGCCCAAAACACCCCAACCCTGGCGAGGACTCAAAAATTTATATGGAACCACAAAAAAACCCCTGAATAGCTACAGCAATCTTGAGAAAAAAAAGAACAAAATTAGAGGAATCACGCTACCTGAAATCCAACTATTCCACAGGGCCACAGTAATCAGAACAGAATGTTACTGGCGTAAAAACAGACAGATATCAATGGAACAGAACAGAGAGTCCAAAAATAAACCTACGCCTTTAAGGCCAATTAACACTTGACAAAGGAGGCAAGAACAAACAATGGGCAAAGTAGTCTACGCAATAAATGGTGTTGGGAAAATTGGACAGATATGTGCAAAAAAGTGAAACCAGACCACCTTCTTACACCATACACAAGAATAAACACAAAATGGATTAAAGACTTAAAGGTTAGACTAAAACACATAAAAATCCTAGAAGAAAACATAGGCAATAAAATCTCAGACATTTCTCGTAGCGATATTTTTTCTGATATATCACCTTGGGCAAGGGAAACAAAAGAAAAAATAAACAAATGGGACTACATTAAACTAAAAGGTTTTTGCATAACAAAGGAAACGATCAATAAAATGAAAAGACATCCCATGGAATGTGAGAACATATTCATCAATGATACATCTGATAAGGGGCCGAGTCGGGACCCTTCAGTCCACAGGCCGGTGCTCTATCCACTGAGCCAAACTAGCTAGGGTCATATCCAAAATTTATAAATAATTTATACAACTCAACACCAAAACAAACAATCTAATTAAAAAATGGGCAAAGGACCTGAATAGACACTTCTCCAAAGAGGACGTACAGATGGCCAATAGACATATGAAAAGGTTCTCAATGTCACTAATCATTAGAGAAATGCAAATTAAAACCACAATGAGATATCACCTCACACCTGTCAGAATGGCTATCATCAATAAGTCAACAAACAATGTGTTGGCCAGGATGCACTGTTGGTGAGAATGCAGATTGGTGCAGCCTCTGTGGAAAGCAGTATGGAGTTACCTCAAAAAATTAAAAATTTAACTGCCTTGTCTGGACAGGCAAATGGTTGACTCAGTGGTTGAGTGTCATCCCATGCATCAGGAGGTCACTGGTTCAATTCCAGGTAAGGGCACATACCGGGGTTTTGGGCTCGATCCCCAGTAGGGGGCGTGTAGGAGGCAGCTGATTAATGATTCTCATCATTGATGTTTCTATCCCTCTCTCCCTCTCCCTTCCTCTCTCTGAAATCAATAATAACATATATTTTTTCCCCAATGGAACTGCCTTATGACCTAGCAATTTCACTTCTGGGACTATATCCAAAGAAACCTGAAACACTGATTCTAAAGAATACATGCGCCCCTATGTTCATAGAAGCATTATTTACAATAGCCAAGATTCAGAAGCAGCTCAAGTGTCCATCAGTAGATGAGTGGATAAAAAAGCTGTGGTACATTTAATAATGGAATACTACTCAGCTGTAAACAAAAAGAAAGAAAGGAAGTCTTACCCTTTCGACAGCATGGATGACTTATTACGCTAAGTGAAATAAGCCAGTCAGAGAAAGACAAATACTGTATGATTTCACTCATATGTGAAATGGAATGAACAGAATAAAATAACTAACGAAATCGAAACAGAGTCATAGATAGAGAACAGACTGACAGCTGACAAAGGGGAGAGGGGTTGCGAGGCTGGGTGAACAAGCTGAAGGGATTAAGCAAAGAAAAGAACCACCTCTTAGACACAGACCACAGTATGGTGATTACCAGAGGGAAGGGGTGGGGGCGGTAGAAGTGGGGAGAGGGGGAATAAATGGTGATGGAAGGAGACTTGACTTGGAATGGTGAACACACAATGCAATATTCAGACGCTGTATTACAGATTGTACACTTGAAGCCTATATAATTTTATTAACCAATGTCACCCCAATAACTTCAACTAAAAAAACAGACCTTCACACAAGATGTCCCGTACACCCCCGGCTCTGTGTCACAGAGCAATTTGCCCTCACTTGAGAGAGGCAACAATGGGACTGGCAAGTGCCTCCCAGGCTACCCGCACGGCCCACCAGATGTCGCAGGACGGCCGCCTGAGGTCTGTGCCCCAGCTCCTGTGCACAGCAGGAAAACGGGCTGTCAGGTTGATGAGACCACGTGAGCCTGTGAAGACCCGCCTCTGCTGCAGGACGTTTGGGGGCCGGGGGATGGACAGCCAGCCCACGGGAGCTCCAGGCCCAGGCACCACCGACTTGTTTTTGGTGATTTAAGACACACATTGTCCCAGACGCTGTGATTGATGAGGGGCAAGCCTCTCAGAACGTGAAAGACGTGTAAGCCTTCGCAGGGGGGTGTGGGTCTGGAGGACGTTCCTTCCCCACCTGGCACAGAGCCTCCGTCGCTTCTGCTGCTGGTGAGGAAAGGGCACGCGTGTGACTGGGGGTCAGAGCAGCGAGTGCCTTTGAGCGGGCAAAGTACTGGAGAAGCAGGTGGAAGGTCTGGGCATCTCCACGGAGGCTACCGTCTGAGTTAGTTGTGTCTGTGACTCCAGGAGGTCAGGGCTGGGCACAGCAGACAGCAGGAGAGAGCACCCAGGATTTTGGTCCCAGCTGTGAGCAGGGTACCCAGCACTGCTCCAGGCAGAGGCTCCCAGGAAGGAGAGCGTATCATGGAAAGAGCTTCTCTCCCTCTCTAGGTCTCATTAACCACCTCTGCCGTGGCTCAGACCCCACGTTGACTATGTGGCATTTCTATTTGCCCGCTGTCCACCAGCCCGCCGTCTCTGGAAGTGCAGGTGCCACTCGGCCCTGTAGAGTGTGTAGAGCCTCCAATGCCCGCCTCTGTTCCTGTGGCAGCAGCCCTGCAGCCTGTAGAGAGGGTATGAGGGAAATTCCCACTGATGCCTGGTACAGAGGTGGGTCTGGTCCGGGCAGCCAGGCCACATGGACCACTGTCGCTATTCAGCCCAACACTGACACCATCTGGATGGAAACAGGAATGAACCCCAGCAGTGGTTTCGCTGGTGATAGCTCATGAGCCCTGGCTGTTCACCCTCTGCACTG